AAGACCCCACTATTTTATTTCCATGTGTATTAGATAATACCGAAAAATTGCAGCTTTACACCAGGGAGAGAAATTTTACATTTTACGCGATATTTTGCAAACAAAATATATTTGCAAATGATTAAAACTTAAGTTTCTGGAACGTTTTCGCTCTAAAAATAGGTATGAGGCCACGCACTTAAAACTTGAAAAATTTTGTTTGCAGAAATAGAAGATGGCCCTTTCTAGAGTTCAAAGAATTCAACAAGAAATTGAAATTATTAGATTAAAGCCATTAGTCACTTTTAAACAAACTATTATAAACTCAATAATCTTCGTGTTTATGTATATTCCTACAATGATTTAAAATTATTATTTTAAACTGTGAACTAAAAAAATTGGCTAAAACCTTTAAGAATATGCTATAATTTTTATAAGCTAAGTAATAATTTATTGATAAATATCTTGTTTCCTTGCCTGGCAGATAAAGATACGTTTGTTGTTGTTATTTTTTTATCTTAGGCTCACAAGAAATATCGAATTAAATGTTTAACTATACTGAAGTCATCAAATAACTTTACAAGATTATTCCTCCTTTGTTATCGAAAAATCGAATTTTCAGTTTAGATTTATTTGAAAGCTGCATCTGTATTACACTCAGAAAAAAATTTTCTTAATAATTTTGATTTATCTTAAAATTTATGAAACATAAGAATGTATCCAGTACTTAACTTAAAGAGAGAGAATTAGGAGTTTGCTTTTTCCTGCTTAATACTTAAGTATAGATAAAAGGAGAAGTAGGGAGCTTGTAAAGACTAGCGTTGCGGTATGATCACTTACCTGCAGAAGTGAAGATACAAATAGCACTGAAAAGGAAGAAGAAGAAGACAAGTAAAGTGGAAATGCTTGGATTCTTTCTACTTTTCATAGTTATGATCACCGGTTATTTATCAAACTTCCGATGATTCAGAGGTTTATATATTATGAAAATATTGGAATTACAAATAACAATAATTTCTGTTGTTTATGTAGTTATATCGCTGTAGCCTAATTTGTAAATCGGTTATGTTGTATAGGCTATGATACTTCAAATGCTAATCGACTGAACCAATTTTGTAACCACACCACATTTGTGCTCGTGAAACTGCTCAAAACAAAGAAGTTAACATCAACTAACTTTATTCATAAATAATACAAGAAAGATTACAAACGATCTTAGCAAGAAAGAATTTAATTGAAAAATCGTTATACTAACACTGTCCAATTACAACTCGCGTGCAGCATTACTGTGACAAATTGTATTATTCATAGCATCGATTAAGTAAGGAAATGGTGTATTCTTAACATGTGGAAAAGATAGAACGTTTCTATCTACCAAAAACATAATTTTCTACATGCTGTGTTGCATTAACTTTGCGTGAGGTTGATAGGCATGCAATGATGACTAGGTAACAGTAAGTAAAAATTTATGGATATTGGTTAACAGAAAAAAAAATCAATAACTTTTATCTGACATTTTCGTACATTCACTAGATTATCTACAACTGTTATTCTGAGCAAGTCAATAACTTGTTCTCTGGTCTCAGGAGGGAATGTTCTTATAATGTAAAAGCTTTTAAACACTTTTCTCTTATTCAACGACTGAGAGTTGAGACGCTTTAAAAACACATAGATATTATCGGTCGTCGCATCACGTTTTGTCTCGGTTTCTTATATGGACGTAATACGAAAGCGACATTTGTACTTGCATACCCTAAGAGCTATAAAGCACCAAACACGGCAGTTTAGTAATTCTTAGTATGTTGTTAAAATATAATGTTTTTAGTAGAGCCAAATAAATACATGAGCCTACAGAACCCGGGCACAGGGCTCCAATACTTTCTAATTCGGCCATGATTTTTAGGGTTAAGAAGTTAAGTATGCATATATTTTTGATAAATGTTACACATTTTTCAGCGCTTAGTGATTTAATACTATAAAACAATGCACCTAACAAGAAAATACTTAAATTTGATATTTCTCAAATGCATGCATATGAGGTGAAATATGAGTTTTCTAAACTTTTTTACACTCCACGGCCACAGACCGATATGTGTCGGTTTCCGAACCTTCTTGTAAGTGATAAAAAGAAAATTAAGTTATACTAATTTGCATTATTAGTAACTTATTTTTGTGTTATTTTCACACCATGATTTGTAGTCCTGTTTTTACGTCAAATCTCAAACTCTTAACATTTTTCCTTAGACGATTGAGCGAAATTGTCATTCAATGTGAAACAGAGCTTGTGTTGTGTCTGTAGTAAGTTATAAAAATATGTACATCCCTTTTCGTTGGCTCCCGTTTGATTAGCGGTAAGTTTAGAGACTTACAAAATCCGGACCTCGATCCCCCGTGGTGGACAGAGCGCAGATAGCCCATCGTGTAGCTTTACGCTAAAACAATAATTATAAACACTCTTAATGACAGACCCCCTATCTCTGTCCCTCTATATCTTTTTATGCACACGTGTTTCCATTGAACCATAATAAAATATGCGTTAGGTGCTTGCTATCAATTTACTCAATAAACAGTTATGCGAACACCAATCCAAAACTTAAAACGTTGAAATGATGCACAGTTTATACAGTTCTAGATGTGTACGAGATTGCTTTTATAGAATTGCCACAGCATGTTATGTTTTATGACATGATTACTCACATAAGTCATCCGCTTGCGTAAAAAGCTACGTTTTGAAGTTAATTTTGCTTTAATTGTTATAATGATATCCATATATTAAGCAGCATTTTTGAAAGGCCACAACAACAGTTAGTACAGTAAGATACAAAAAGCACAATGGAAAGGTGAAACTTTATTGCGAGGTTTTGGGAAATGATATCCAGTACTAATCCTCTGTTTAGCTCGTAAGTTGATTGATTAATAGCAGTAATTATAGGGCTTAAGTAAGAGCTGCATGAATTATAGCCAAAGTAATAAATTGAATATTGTCTATAACCTAGGTACTTTAATGTAGTATTTAAGTGCGTTATTTGATTAATAGCATATTTCATGAGACATTTGATACTTTTTCTGTTAATAAATTTAGAGATATATCCGATCTTCATCACTCAGAGCGTGAGCAATATATAATAATAGAAGCTCATCTTGCATGGAGCACTTTGATTATTTATCTTAAGTATTTATGAGCGAAAACAAAGTAGAATATGTTATAATAATATTTAGTTCTACCACCTTCTGGCATCGTTAACAGTAACATCTTTAACAGCAGTATGTATAACAGTGGTATCTTTAACAACAGTATATATATAACAGCGGTATCTTTAATAGCAGCATACTTAACAACAGTATCTTTAATAGCAGCATACTTAACAACAGTATCTTTAACAGAAGCATCTATAACAGCAATATATATATATACAATATCCTACCAAAAGTCATGGGAGACACCTCTCATTACACGAAAATGAGCGCGACGACGAAATATGCAAATAGTTTGGCTGTTAAAGATGATCAGCGGTTCGCTCGGAAGTCATTTCGGACTTGTACGCCAAACGATGAGTACACGGAAAGAGCTAACAGAGTTTCAGAGGGGAAGGATAGTTGGATGTCATTTGAGAAAATGTCTGTACGTGCTATTGCGCAACAATTAAACATTCCCAGGTCGACAGTTAACATCATGCTAATAAAATTGAAGTCCACGGGTGACAATGAGCCCAAGAAACGACCAAAGAGATATAAAATACTGACTAACAGGAGACGACGCACCTTGAAAAAGCTGGTTACCTCATCTCGTTGTCAGACCCTAGAGAATCTGTGTTTGGAGATGCGAGCAGCTACAGGCAATTCTATAAGTGTTTCCACAACACATCGAGAGCTGTATGACATAAATTTTCACGGGAGAGCTGCAGCCCACAAGCCGTTGATAACAAAAACAAATGCTCATCGTCGATTGCCATGGGACAAGGTACATCAAACATGGACCGTGGATCAATGGAAATCTGTCCTGTGGAGCGACGAGTCACGCTACACGCTCTTCCAGACTGATGGACTTGTTTCGGTATGGAGAATGCCTGGAGAACGCTTATTACTCAGTGTGTTGTCCAAACAGTGAAGTTTAAAGGTAGTGGTATAGTCTGGGGGTGCTTCTCGTGGTATGGACTAGGTCCAATGAGCGTATTGCATGAATCCATGAACGATGAGACCTACATTGATGTTCTGAACAATTCTGTGTGTCCTACATTGTAGGAATTTTATGGTACCGGCCCTTACACCTTCCAACATGATAACGCTCTGTGTCACAAAGCAAGGATTGTGAATGCGTGGTTTGAAGAGAATAACATTGTGGAGCATTGCAGTGGCCCACACAGAGCCTTGACCTCAACCCAATAGAACATCGTTGGGATGAACTGGAATGCAGAATTATGGCAAGGCCAAGACGTGCTTCTTTAGTAGTGAAGCTTACTAATGCTTTAAAGGAGGAATGAAGCACAATACCACCAGCTTTCTACCAGAAATTAGTAGACAGTCTTCCACGACGCATTGAAGCAGTCATTAAGGTCAAAGATGGGCCAACACGCTATTCATTTTTTGGAATACAGACATGTTTTATTCATAACTACACGTGTCCCATGACTTTTGGTACGATAGTGTGTATACACACATACACACACATACACACACATACACACACACACACATATATATATATATATCACTTGGATCTTTAATAGTATTATATTTAACAGCCGTATCCTTAACAAATGTACCTTTAGGTGGTGTCTTTAATAGCATTAACAGCCGTGTAGCACGGCCAGTGCAGATTTGAGGAATATAACATCAACACATTAACCTGTGCCATTTGTACAAGTGTTATCAACCACCGAGATGTGGTTCTCAACCTATGCTGTGGATAGTGTCCCCAGGGCTCTTAAACAGAAAATATTTTTGTATTTACATAATGCAAGAACTAAAGGTCATCTAGGTAGTATATGCAATTGAGCTAATGTGAGATGGACAACACAATAAGAATATTAGGTACCCGGTCAGAAGATGCATACTCTCTAAACATCACTGTGTACTCAGATTCAATGATATCACTACACCCCAATATCAAAGAAAACTTTCCAGAACGTAAATACAGATGCAAAACACCCAAATCCCTGGAAGACCCAGCTTCATCAAGTCAGGCTGCCACAACAACAGCAACCGTATCATCGGCTACAGATAAGGTCAATGTGAGAGCTTTGATGTCGGCAGCTTCTCATCCATTCAAGCGTGCTCAGTAACATTAGCCCATCAGTGCTAAGCTGGAGCCCCAACCAACACTCCTGATGGTAATTACCCAGAGACTCATCAATTAGCAGACATCAATCCTGAAGTAATACTTTCAGGCATAAGCTTCTAAGAGGGAAAAGACTTCAGCTCTATATAACAGTGAAGAGAATTTATTGCTGAAGTACAATGAACCACCACGAAAGCTGGGAAAAGACTCACAACGACTTGGAAAGCCTGGGCGAGGACCAATGAAATTATTCGGAAACCACCACCACCAGTAAGAATTTGACTGCTGTCCAACAAAACCTGTTAGTGAGGCTCCATCAACCATTTTGCTTAAGAGTGGGTGTTTGACCGTGATGCAGTTTCATCCAGTTTTTATTTTGTTACGTGTATGTATAGTTCATCCTTGTGTACAAAGCATTACCCTTTGTTTCATTTTCTTTTTGCGATAACCCAAAATAATCATCATCTACTTTTGTGCACGGATTGGACAAGATATTGACCTTCTTACACGACACATTTTAAAAGTGTATTAAAGTGTACAGAACTGAACTTTACCTATTATAGCATTAGTGCTATCATATTTCAATGTTGTATGTATGTAAAACTTTACCCTTGGTCCTTACCGTAAAAAAGCATTGGTCGC